ACTCACCAGCTGCGCAGCTTGATTCTGGACCAGTTGCAGTCGCCGGACCGTCTTCACTGCTTTGTTTTTTATCTTGTTTTTTTGTTTCATTCTGTTGTAATTAGGGATGCAGGTTACTTTTTTTTCTTCAGTGAAAGCCTTGGAACTTAGTGATACTGTATTCACACTGAACATAAGGTTCAGTAAGCTAATTTGTACTCTATTTGGCCCCCGTTCTTTCTCTGCATTTTTTCTGTGTGATTACTGAAATGCCTTTTGTATGACGAAGCAGTGTACTGTCTTGTCTACTGCGTTTTTTCTACACATACAGTAGGTGTAAAAGGTTATAGGAATGCAAGGATTGAAGCACAAGGTAGCTCCTGAGCATCTTTGTGCCAGTGACGTTAGAGATGAATATTGACTGAATACTGCAACACGTTACGTTTTCAGATAGCTGTTCTCTGTCTTTCTCATAAATAATAGAGCAAATAGCTAAGAACTTATAAAAATTTTCTCAATTTCCAGGAACGTTTCATTGTAGTTCGGGAGACAAATGGACAGTTGCGCAAAGCCACTTGGGAGGAGCGAGACAGGATGATACAAATCTATTTTCCAAGAGAAGGACGGAAAATTAGGCCACCATGTTTATTCAATGATGAAAATCTTGTGGTAAAATTTAAGTTTTGTACTTCCTGAAAAGTCATTACTCAACCTCTTGTTTGTATCATCAAGCCTACTCATTTGATCTGTCAAATGTCTGCTGCTTATGTTGTCATTGTACCCAACAATCTTGATCATTTCCAATATCCTTGAATAGAACTTTAGTTTATTCTTATGACACTGTGGCGGAAATCCAGTAGTGAGGTCTGCCAATTCCATCACAAATTCAATTGATTCAATGGGCCTACTTTGTTTGTGACTTATTATTGGATTTCAGGTTCTGATTCTGTGCAAGCACTGTTCACAGCTGGGCATGAGCAGCAGGACCATATTGTCTTTCCTTAAAGTTTTCTAGCTTTTTCTTTATTTTTGGTGTTGATTGAATCTCTGTCCTCTCCTTTCTTATCAATAGTTGAGGACATTTGAAAATTCACATTAGAAACAACAGTTAAAATCATAAATTGCACACATATATAATTACACATATCTAAAAATTAAAACATACTCAGCATAGTGTTGTGGATAGCGACAGATTAGGACTCGGGACTCTTGGGTTCAAATTCCCACTTGGCTGTGGAAATTCAAGTGCATGAAATCACTCCTTAAATGTCTTGCATACCTTGAAAGCTCCATAAAGGCTAGCAAATACTGATTCCAACTTGATAGCACGTAACATTATTAAAGCAGCAGCTTCATGGTGATCTACATTAGTAACTTGAAAAGTAATGGTCCCAGGAGAAGTGTAATTGACAGCTCCTTGAAACTTTTCCAAACCACCCAAAGTACTTTTTTTCAATGCTAGCTGATGGGCAGTCAGTCATATAGCTGGTGCCCAGAACAGCATTAATGCTTTTTCTTGGGAGATGCTCATTCATTCATTCAGGTGTTAATGATTTTTGTTTCAGACTGTATTTCTTCAGGACCGCCATGTAGAGCTTCTCGATCACTGCCTTGTACAGTTTGAACCAGATGCACCTGCCTATATCAGAGTGAGTTGACACCACAACTACTTATACTTATTTCTGTTAAGTTGCTTTGAATGCTATTTATTTAAGGATTGCTCTTTTAAACTTTTGTATAGGTTCACCACAGAACATATGAAGACATTGATAAACATAGAAAATATCATCTTCTGCGTGGAACAAGACATTTTGGAGGGATGGTGTGGTATCTTGTAAACAGAAAGAGGACAGATGGATTGCTAATAGACATGATCCAAAGAGATTTGTATGTGTTTATTTATTATGCACAAATGAATCACAGTTAGCTCCCGCAGCTATATTGTATTGGAAATAGTTGATATTCATTTATGCCATAGCCATAACAGTAGATTGTGGAAAGAAATTACTACTGCTTCCATTTATGTGCAGTTCTAAGACTCAGTAATTGTTTAGAAGAGGTATGAAGGGTATTGACCAAACTCTGGGAGGCAGTGGAAGACAGGAGGGCCTGGCGTGCTCTGGTCCATGGGGTCACAATGAGTGAGACATGACTTAACAACTAAACAACAACATGAAGGGTTTTTGTCCTGGAGCACATCTCCCAGATGATAGTAAACTTCCTGTGAATGCATCTCCTCAGGTAGCCTGTCGACAGACTAAATGTTTTTATATTACCTGCTTTATAAGTAAAGCTGCAGCTTTTGAGCATAAGTATCATTAAACTCTTGAAGGTAAAGCTTCTTAGTTCTGTGGCCTACAAAGATGCAGGAGAAAAGCAGGTTGCCTAAGGGCATTTATCCTTTTCAGTGGTGGGAGGTCTTGCAGGTTGAAGAAGATAGCACAAACAGCCGGTTCCTCATATGAAGGGCTTGAAAAATCCACTAGTCTGTGATGAGTAAAAAAAGGCTGCTTGACAAGCCACATCTCCCTGTCTCCTTGCCTCCTTGCCCTCTCTCTCTCTGATCCTACAGTCCTCCCCCCTTCCCATTGCAAAAGGAAAAACAGCCCTCGTCTCATGAGAAGAGCGTTCGAGCGGCATATATAGCTGTGCAGGAGAATGTAGAGTGGTCCTATGCTGGAGAATATGGAAATTCCCTGCTCCCAATTTCAACCGAACAACCTGGCTCCTTAAGAGGCCAAGCACTTTTGCTTTCAGTTTCATTTTTGCTGGAAACATTCAAAAGAAAGGCATTCAAAATACAAGCTTCATGACCCCACTGCATCTGATATCAGGCTCCCAAAGTGTTTAACCTGCACTAATTAAAAGCTTCCCATCTCTCTGTTTTAGGTTCCAAGGCTCCCTGTTGCTTTGGGGGAGCCAGGGAAGAGTTTAAAAGGGAAAAAACTGCTGAGATCAGAACCACTGCCACAGATCTTGCCGGGGTTTTTTTAACTTTTTAAACACTGCCCCATCCCTCAAAGCTGAGACTTTCAGAGGCTTCCCCAGGGAAAAAGACAGAGCTTTAGGACCTAAAATTGGGGGATAATAAACTTTTAATTAGTACACATTAAATGTTTCCAGTGCCTGATCTGAGTTGTGCAACAGGATTTTGTGCACAATATCTCCTAAATAGGAAAGAGGTGTGTCGAAATCACGGGGTGTGAAATTGAACCATAGACACTCTCCTTTGTATTTATTGCATAGCAATGGCTTACATTTGTTCTTCATTTCTTTCGTAAATTTTGTCTACTGTAGTATTAAGATCAAACAAAAGTATTCTTAGTTCTTTTGCTAAATATAGAATGAATGTTAAGCTAGTCAGATCGATATGCTTCCAGGGAAGTAGTATCAATATGGAAGTTTCTTTAATATGCTATCTTGAATGAATATTGTTTCAGGATTGATGATGCTGAAAGCTTAATTACCCTTTATCACATGCTTCATCCTGAGTGTCAGTCTGCTAAAGAAGCACAAGAACAAAACCTCCAAGGATTAGATTTAATTAAGGTAAGGCAGAATATACATCTGGATGTGAAAAGGTTGAAGAATAAATAGGAAATATATGCATTACTGTCTTGTTGGGCAACTTGAGTTCCTCCAGATGTTGTCCAGTTTCCCATGATTTTTCACCACTGTTTATGCCAGCTAGGGCTGATGGAACTGTAGTGTAACAACAGCTGAAGGGCCAAATGTTGCCCACCACTCAGATTCTACAAATGAAGTTTTCCTCAGGGAAGGACCTCTGCACCTTTTCTGTAGTTGCATGAAACCTGATTTAGTTATTAGGACCCAAAGTAGAAAATGAAGCCCTTCAGTCAAAGAATGCCTTTCTCTGACTGAGCGTTTCAGAGTCTTCTGGTAGCTGTCAGTCTCACAAAGTAGTAAAGCCAGAACACTGAACTCATTTTGCTATTTTAACATCTAATGGAAAAAAACTACTAACAGTTAAAAACCTTACAATTTACCTAGCTCTGTCTCTTTTTTTAACAGGTTTTTGTGAAGACAGAATCAGAGAGAGCTGGATACATTGAGCTTGAGATACAGGCTTATATAGCAACTTTGCCCAAGTCTGCAGCTTCATAAAGTTATTGGATTAGTTTTCATCTGTTGTGTCTGGTTAAAATGTACATGTTTTAAAATTAAATACATTTTGCTATATGGTATACTGTTAATAGTTTAGCTGTTGTTTCTAAACCGTAACAGAGCTGTTCTCAAGTTACACATTTTACCTTTCTGTTGCATTAGTATGGCATAAGCACAAAATTGAAAGGAAATTTAAAAATTATTTATTAGCAGACTTTGTTTCAATGTGAGAAAAACAACAGGATCTACCTAACAGAAACTGAAAGTATACTGCAAAGGTCTACTTTTTTCTTTATCCAATTTAAATGTAAAAAAAAAATCAAGAAACTTCATGAAGACTGCAATAATAGTCAGGTGCATGGAAAAACAATTTATAAGAAGTTTGGTCATTTTTAAAAAAAGATTCAGTCAGACATTTCTTCATCCAGATTAATATCGGTAGTATCAATATCCTCCAGGTCTAAGTTATCCAAGTCTTCATCCAGTTCCAGTAATGCCTAGGGCAGGAAGTACATAGTTAGAAAACTAGTTTCATGTAAAGCATTTCCTTCTATCAAATACAAATTAAACTACTGCATGATTCACCATGCTCCCCTACTTGGCCATTTTATTTTCTGCAAGTGGACTGGCTTGCACCTCTGTTTTAGTAAACCTCCAGGTCTAAGTTATCCAAGTCTTCATCCAGTTCCAGTAATGCCTAGGGCAGGAAGTACATAGTTAGAAAACTAGTTTCATGTAAAGCATTTCCTTCTATCAAATACAAATTAAACTACTGCAGGATTCACCATGCTCCCCTACTTGGCCATTTTATTTTCTGCAAGTGGACCGGCTTGCACCTCTGTTTTAGTAAAACTTACTTAGTGTGTACTTGCATGACACAATAAGCCAGGACTTCACAGAAGTGCTAATGTGTCAGGCATGGTCAGTACAACAAAATATGGTACCCAACTGCTCTTGTTTATGACTAAGGAAACAAGAGGACTTTGTCCTGCGAATTTTTCATTTTACCATGTGCAACCAAATGCCACTGCCACTGGACTAATATTTCTATAGCCACAATAACTATGTAATGCATTCATTCAAGAAAGAGAATTACAGTGGTGCCCCGCATAGCGATGACAATCCGTTCCAGGAAAATCGTCGCTACCCGGAATCGTCGCTATACGGGGCAACCCCCCCCATAGGAACGCATTAAAACACGTTTAATGCGTTCCTATGGGGGGGAACTCACCGCTATGCAGAAATCCTCCATCCGGCCACCATTTTTGCTGCCCAGTAAGCGAGGAAAGGGCGCGAAAATGCTGTGGGCAGCCATTTTTTTTGGTGGCCAATGTGGAACAGCCGATCAGCTGTTTTCTAAACATTGCAATGCGAAGATCGGTAAGCGAAGGGCTTACTGATCATTGCAATGCGATGTTTAGCCATTAAAAACATTGCAATGTGATCGCTTTTGCGATCACAAAATCCGCATTGCTATGCGGATTCATCGTTAAACAGGGCGTTCGCTATGCGGGGCACCACTGTACTGCGGTGCCTTGCAAGACAATTTTAATTCATTCCACAAAAATCATTGTCTTGCGAAAAAATTGTCTTGGGAGGTTCCCTATGCATCGGTCTAAAAAAAAAAGTCTCGCAAAGCATCGGTCTCAAAAAAAGTCTTGCAAAGCATGGTCATAGAAAAACACGTCTTGCGAGGCACCACAGTGGTTGCAAAAACAAAGTCTTACAAAGCACGGTCATAGAAAAACATGTCTTGCGAGGCACCACAGTGGTCGCAAAAACCAATCAATCATCTTGTGGGGTTTTCATCCCATGAGGCAATTGCCTAGCGAGGCACCACTGTATTGTGACTGAAGAAATGAAGTAACACCATGAGGCAATCGTCTAGCAAGGCACCATGTATTGTGACTGAAGAAATGAAGTAACGAGACAGTGTAGCAGTGCCATCCACTGAAGAAGGGACAGCAGAACTACAGAATACTACTACTACAAGTCACTACAGTGAATGTGATGTTTATAAGCCTTATGGTAGAAGCAAGACTTGTTGGATAGATATTTAGATAAGATATTCCATAGTATTCAGGGTAATCTCAGAAGTGCACTGTTAGCTCTCACTTACACAAACATCAGCTGCTATTTAGTCTTGATCCAAGGGCCCTGACAATTTAAAGGATAAGCTTTTTTATTCCATGAACATCAGGAATTTTGATGGAACTGTCCAAACTGAGGGACCTAATTTAATCGAAATAACAGAGTCTGAAGCAGAGCCATTTAAGCTCTTAATTCATTTAATTCTCACTTAATTTTGAAATCTATATACTTCTGACTTTCACCAGCAAAATATGAACAGTTATAACTTGTATATTAGCTAATAATATACTGTTGCTATGATTGTGTTTATAACCTGGTTTATTCTTAAAGCACACACAACTCAGGCTGTGTGTGTGTGTGTTTTAAGTGAGCTTCATTACCACACTCCATTGCCAATTGTTCTTCAAACGTACAGGCAAGATGTTCTGTTCACACATACCCACAACATGAGGCAACCTTTTAAATAATTCTCAATGGTTTCTTATGATAAACTTAACATCATGGGTTTAATTTCATAAGGGAGATGCACTAACTAATAAAAAGAAGTAACCATAAAATGTCATGTCATTTAAGAGGCATTAAATGGCCACCCAGTGTGGTGTAGAGAAAAAATAATAATGGACTAGGATTGTGGAGGAACAGGGTTTGAATCCCCATTTGGCCATGGAAACTCACTGGGGGAGTGGAACTGGTAAAACAACTCCTTAAATATCTCACTTACCTTGAAAGCTCTATTATGTATGTATTTAATAAAATAAATAAAATTTAAATAAAGCCCTATTAGATTTGCTAGAAGTCAGTTCTGACTTGATGGCTCAGAACACACACACGCATTGCACAGAATCAGACAACAGACAGATATAGTAATGTTCTCAATTCTACCATCACCACAGCTCTGCCTATAGAAAAGCATATTAAAAGAAAATGACACCAACTTGTCTTATTTACTACACAGAGATGAAAATTAAGCAGAGACAAATAGTGGCAGAACCAAGTTGTCTAAGAACTTTCCACCACCTTATTCCATGTAACAGGCAGGAGAGCTTTAATTCTGAAACTACCAAAATTAAACTGGAACAAGGGAAATATGGACTGTTAGCAGGAATGGAGCCTCTCAGATGAATTGATTTTTCTTGTGTTTTTACCTTTTCATCTCTTATTGTTTCAGGTAAGTCATTCCCTGCAATTGGAGGGATTGTCACAGGCATAGAAGTAGGGACTACTTCTTCTGATTCCTTATGATAAAAAAAGGAAAAACATTAAACCATTTGAGCTGGATTTCATTATATCAAAAGCTGTAAGGAAACCTGAGGAATAGAAATTTTAATTGAAGAAGGCTGTGGCTGATGACATCATCAGCAGTGCATGCACAGAGGTGCCCTAACAGGATTCTGGCCAGCATACCAGTGCAACCTTTACAGTGTTGTTCTTTACAACCATTCCCAATTCACAGCCTGGCTTTTACAGAGCTGCTTAGTGATTTTAGAGCATCTAAATCAACTCTGAAAATAAGAAATGCCAGAACATTCACGTAAGCCACCACTTTATTCAGGTACAGACATCAAGCAAACCTGTCCCAATAATAATTTACAGTGATTCGTTTAAAGCATCATGAAGAACTCCTCTACTCCCCAACCGTGGGCCTCTAGATGTTCTTAGACTACAATTCCCAGAAGCCTTCACCACCACCTCTGCCAGGATTTCTGGGAGTTGCAGTCCAAGAATATCTGGAGGCCTAAAGTTGGGGACCACTGCTTTATACAATGTCTTCCCAAAACAGAGTTTCTATGTTAAAGTAACATGATCTGAGAAGCAAAATAATTACTGAGCAATCACAAATGTGAAACTAAAATGTATTTAAGATAAATTTTTGGCTCAGGTTTTGGTAAAACTGTCAATGAAAATTCTGTTTAGACTAAGGCAGTAGGAATTCTGATCACATGGTGGTAGTTGTGTTATTCCCTGATAACACTAACACTGACCTGTAATATTCCTTTTTGTGGTATGAAACCTTTGGCTTCTTCCAAGACGTTTCTCTCTTCATTTGGCTATGAAACAAAATAAACGGGTTCATGTAGATACTCAACATTCTTACTGTCTACCACATGGAGATTACAATCTGTATATACTTACAGTGACTAGGGGATATTCTCTGGCTGGCCGAAGAGCAGTCTGTGTTTTCTTGATATATTCTTCAGCAATGAAAGCTTCTTTTAATCCAGGGAACAAGTTTTCATATTCAGTGGGATCAGCTAGGGATTCAGCAGCTTTCTGGTTGACTTTAGAGAGATTTTCTCTCCACAGCTTAACAACCCTAGCAATGGAACAGAGTTACTGCAAACAGCTGTTATATGCAAAATATTTTTACTATACACTATATAGGGAACATGGGAGAGGGCCTTCTCTATGGCAGCTGCCAGTTTATGCAATGCTCTCTCTTGAGAGATTACGTTGGCCTCCTTGCTTTTATCCTGCCGACAGTTGAAAACCCACCTCTTCAGGCAGGCTTTTAATAATCCCTGAATCTGATTTTTAGCTGATTAAGTTTGTTTAAACATTTTAAATGTGTTTAATTATTCAAGATGTTTTAATTACTATTACAGTTTAATTGATTTTAATATACAATTTATTGTTTTACTTTTAACATTTATCTGCCTTAACTGCCCCACTTCCTCAGACAAAATAAAATAAAAAGTAGTTGCACTAGAGGCTTACCTTGAAACTTGACTCGGCAAATATGTTCGCGCCAAGAAAGCAGCTTCTGGTAAGCGCCCAGTTTTAATTAAGAGCTCAAGACAATTGTCAAGCCTACAATGATAACATTGGAAGAAACAATCATTTTTCCCATTTATTTGGGTTTTGTTAATACACCAGAAAAAAAGAGAGATCCTATTTAAAATGTTCTAGAACTAATATATCTTAGTTTCCCATGATGCCTGCCATATGGGTTGGACTACAACTCCCATCAACTCAGACTAAAACAGCTTCTGGTGAAAGATGGTAAGAGTTGACATTTTAACGCTTATGCTTCTGGCTTCAAACTACAAACACCAGAAGACTGGGTCCTGAGACAATATGTTCTGTACAGAGCTGTTCAGCTTATAGGATCATCATTTTGCTCTTACCACAGCTTGCAAATGACCATCTCAGCAATCAAGATACAGGCATTCTCTGTGGTGGCAGCCACTCTAACAACCCTTCCAAAAATAAGATATGTACAAACTCTTGTACTATTTAGCTGCACATTGGGGATAATTATTTGTTCTTGCACATGGTGGCAAATGATACTCATCATATCTACTTTTTCACTTACAGTGGTGCCTTGCAAGATGAATGTAATTCGTTCCGTGAGTAGCGCTGTCTTACAAAAAATTTGTTTTGCGAAAAGGGGTTTCCCATAGGAATGCACTGCAATGCATTCCTATGGGAACCTCGCAAGACGAGTGATTTTTTTGTCTTGTGAGGCATCGGTCTTGGAAAAAAATCGTCTTGTGAAGCACAGCCATAGAAGCAGCCGTCTTGCAAAGCACCATAGCAATCGCAAAAACCATTTGTCTTACGGGTTTTTCATCCCGCGAGGCATTTGTCTTGCGAGGCACCACTGTATTAGGATATTTATAGTGCAATAACCCCAGACCTTACCATCCTAGCATCCTCCAGATATATCAAACTAGAGTGACCCTCATTCCCAGCCACCATAGCCACCCAACACCTAGAAAGCACCTGACTAGGGAAGGCATAAAAGAAAAGCCAAAACTGACCTAAGACTTGAACAAACCCATACTTTGGTACACAGGCAACTTGATATTCATATGGATGCTTTAAACTGGAATCTTTTTCCCATGTCCTATTATGACATTGGCAGTGTATACCATCTTGATGCAACTTTGCCTCCTTTTCCAGGATCCACTTCAGAAGCATCAAACCCATTATCACTGTCAAAATTCCAGATGCAAGCCACCACAAGCCATATAAGGCAAGCAGATGCTGCATTTAATTGTGTTTCCTCATTTGCCGCTAAATTTCAGCAGCAGGGCTTTTGGTAAGATGGAGCACAGTAACAGCCTTAAGGGCCACATGCAGTCCATGTGTCACCTGCTCCTGCAATATACTTGGTTTCTTCCCCTAATATGGTAGGTTATTTGCTACTTACTTTCCTTGCAGGAAGTAGCTCATGAATGCTACATTGTTCTTGCCATCTTTTTCTGCTCCCTCAGCAAGCTTATTCACCATGTTAGTATTTCCCGAAGCTGTAGCCAAAAGCAATAAACCGCCATAGTCCTGTGCATGGTGCAGGCATTCCTGGGCAAGGCCAAACTGGCATTTGCTGGTTGCAAGCTCAGCCAGCTGCTTCCACTTCTGTTCAGACTGTGTAAGCAAAAAGTAATTCCACCTTTTAAATGTCAATCATGCTTGAAATGAATTTGAACAAGTATGTAGTCTAGACTCTTAAAGGTTCAAACTGGATGTGGAAATACCCAGATTATGAACCAATTGTGGCACAATCCAGTGTGAGCTATCTCATGATAGCTGGTGATCACATGACATACGGCCAACAATGATCAGCCCGATGGCTAGCAAAAAAGGCCAGAAGCAGGGCTGTTCTTTTTGGGGGGTAAGGTGGAGCAATTCCCATACAGAAGGGTCACTTTAAGGGAGATCACTTCCAGCAAAATGATCCCTTTCTGGGTGAGCCCAATTTTCTTTATCTTAACAGAAACATTTTTATGTGAACTGTTCTAAAAATCTGGTTTAACATACCTCTGCTTCTACTGCAAGCTGATATGCAATCTTAAGTTCACCAAGCTGAAGGGCAAGCTCAAAGCGATGTTCAGGATCTGTAGATACTGCAAGAGCTTGTGGTTTGAAACCCTGAATAAATATTTAGAACAGTACACCATTAGTGAAGGAATTTTCTTAGCATCCTACAGAAGTGGAAGCACAAATGTATCTTGTTACCTGAGCGAAAACCCATTCTGTTTGTCTTACTTTAATAAACATGAATATACCTAATGCACAGGTGTGCCCAGTCATATTAAGTTAGACAGCCAGCCATTTCCAATAAAGCATTTGAAATCTAGCACTGTATTTAATGCTATCACAGCACCAGGAAGCAGCTTCGACCACCAGAAGGGAACAATCTCTCTCCCTCCTGCAGCCCTTTGTGTGTCCTAAAAGCCTCCTCTGGATAGTGAGAATCCTTCCAGGGCATGTTTTTGGGCAACAGAGAAGGCTAGAGGTGTTAAAAACTCCAAGACAGCTAAGAACATCATGGTACACTTTGACCATAGCTTTTATTAACCGAGGATTACTCTGGTAGGGTGTGTCAAATGTTTTTACCTGCTTCTCGAGGAAATGTGCAACTCTGGTCCTCTGTTCCTTTGGAATTGTAGGAAGAACTTTGTCTGCCATACAGAAGTCTCTCCTCATCACAGCAGTCTGATATTCAAGCACTGATACTAACAAGGAATAACTCACTATATTCAATTCTTTGTCACCCAGGTAAAGTTTGTTGTCTTTGGGGATATAGCAGCGTAAATACATTGTCCTTTAGGAAAAGAAGTAGGAGAAAGCGGGTGAAAAATGCATTCATTCTGTAAAGATCTGACATAGAAGATTCAATACTGCACAAGCCTGAAAAGTCATCTGAATGATCAGGGATTATGCTGTACATTCAAAATAACCAAGAAATAGTGATGGTATGCCAAGTTCACATACAAAGGACACTGATTCTCCATGAAAGCCTAAGTAGATCAAGGCAAAGCAATTCAACACTAATCAAAAGGTATGTCACATCAGCCTAATGTATCTGGATTTCTTCACTTTTCTTAGTAGCAGTTGGAGACAAGAACCTGTTGGGGATTAGGATGGTCTTAAGACATGAACACCTTATCCATCTCTGGCACAAAAACTAGTTACTGCTATACTAATGTATCAGTTCAAGATGCACTAAATTCTCAAAAATGAAGAATATTCTGTAAAACTCAAATTGTTGCACATCAACACGAATGAAATCTGATGAACTATAATGTATCAGTTCAAGATGCACTAAATTCTAAAAAATGAAGAATATTCTGTAAAACATGTAAAAACAAAACTGTTGCACATCAACACAAATGAAATCTGATGAACTACTAGATGCTCACCGGTCCAAATGTGCTATGGTGACAATTTCACCTCCAACATAGTAGTTGAGTCTGTTCACAGAACTGGTATAAATAAAACAATCGCCCACCCACAATCCTGTTTTCACAATCTCTTGAATTTCACCAAGGACCTGGAAGAAAAATAATGACTTTAAATGTGGAGCTATCCAATATGACTCATACAATCAAAAAGATCTCAGCAAGTTGGTTGGGTCGCTCACTGAATCAGAGTAGCTGATTGTGAAGCCAGGATTCAGGAGTTAGATACATCCAAAGGGAAGAGGAGTCAGCCTATGTATCCTCAGGTAGGCTGCCTAGTCTCAAAGTACCATCTCAGAAAAAGTGAATGGCAAAGAAATCAGAGAATTTTATAACTAGAAAACCTTTAGAAAGGTCGCCATAAGTTGGAATCAACCTGACAACACACTATGATTATGATTATGACTGTGAAGGAATTTTAGTATGTACCCTTACACATACTTGGAAGTGAAGAGTTACACATAAATGGAAGTTAGATTTAAAATATCAATCTATGAATTTACTCTTCCATTAAAATAGTGATGAAATCAACAAAAAGTCAAATTTATGGCATAAGTTCATCTGTATGGTAGATGAAATACAGTGGTGCCTTGCATAGCGAGGGTTAATCCGTTCCGGATTAACCCTCGCTATGTGAAAACCTCGCTAAATGGAACATAAAAACCCATTGGAATGCATTAAACACTGTTTAATGCGTTCCAATGGGCCCTAAACTTACCGTTCAGCGAAGTTTCCTCCATAGCGGCAGCCATTTTTGCGCCCTCGGTAAGCAAGGGGAGGGGGCGAAAACACTGCGCGCGGCCATTTCGGGCATCCGGCGGCCATTTTAGAACCACCGAACAGCTGATCCGCGGGCATCGCAAAGCGAAGATCGGTAAGCGAAACGCTTACCGATCGTCGCTATGCGGGTTTTTGCCATAGGGACCGACGCTATGCCTCCGCATTAGCGATCCCATAAAGGGGATCACTATGCGGATTCGTCGTTGTACGGTGCGCTCGTTAAGCGAGGCACCACTGTAATTTAACTAATGTAAAATACATGAACACATGATTTGCTAATTTTGTCAGCATGGCTGTAAGATTTATATTTACATCTGAAAATTTATCACTATTAATCTGTATGCCCAAGGAGAAAGAGTTCAAGTTAATCACTGGCGTTTGTTTTCATTTTCCATCTTCAAAAGGTGTCTTACGCTACAATCTGTTGTATGATACCAAAGTACCTTGTTTAAAACTTGAATCTATTTGGCAGTTTATTTTATTTTACTATATTTACATGATTAACTTCTGCAAACAGATGATCGGATCTCAACTGTTTAGAGATCATTTTTAAAAAGTACCTCAAAGGCATCTTCAATGCCATCTTCAGTGACACCCTCATGTGTATCTTGCGCTGCTGCAACTTTCTCAGAAAGGTATTTCAGAATAAAGAATGATTCTTCTGTGGCTATGCAGACAAGTTCACCAGAGTCAGACCAGAAAATCTAGATTAAAACAATATAATGGCCTTTTAAAATGCTGGCTGCAGCAAAAAGAAATATTAACCCTGCTATAGCACTGAGAAGGTGAAATGTGTTGTTTGGCACCGCCACTGAAACATTACCCCTTTCCTCTATAAGAATCAATACTCATGGATGTTCCAAGAAATGAGTGTTAGTTGTTCAGTAATATGCAGTTTAATTAAAACTCACATGCTTGGGCTGTATTTCAATTCTGCGTATCAGTTCTGTGTTTTCCCAGTCATAAAATGCCAAGCCATTGACAGATCGGACACCTAGCAAAAAACCACCATAGATACCTACAGCAAAGAGAAATAAAAGGAGTTGGAACCTTATGGAGAAACCACTAGCCAAACTGGCTAAGAGTGGTGTTTTACTAGTGAAAAATACATAACATGCCTTCTGCTCCAAAATCAGGTTTAAAGGATTTCTTCTCTTTGAAATTTTTAAATATCTTGACACTGCTGTTGCTCTCCCTGATGGCATACCTGCACATAAACAAAAGAATTCAGGAGTATGACATAACTCATTCAACCAGGTCAATTCACAAAGCCAGAATTAGGCAACACTAACTGCATGCACTTGGCCACAGGTCTCACCTTGGACCTCTACATAGTGACATCATTCAGTTTTCTTAGGCATCACAATGATGGCAAAGGAGGACCAGAGTAAGTTTTGAAACATCTCAGATTTTAATATTCAACAATTTTGGTAGTAACTGCAATGGCTAACATACAGCCTGTGCTCATAACTTATAGGCCACATTTGGTCTAATAAGCTGGTTATAAATTAGCCATTGTAGCCACTACTAAAAATACTGAATATTAAAATCTTAGATGTTTCATACTGAAGTTTAAAAAGACAAGACTACCAATCTCATTCCTGCAGAACAATTTTGAGAAGATACATCTTTTGTCACATGTTCTATATTTGCTCTTGCATTTTCAGGCTCTTTACCAGACCAAAAGCAAGGCTCTCACACACAGTTTCATCTGCGTACACATTTTTCTTCAGACATGTTGCTATGGGAGATTTGTACACAGGAACCACTTTCATTTGAGGAAGGGATGAACACAGAATGATAGCAACTGCAGTGCCCAAGACCTACAGAAGGCAATGTCTTGCCCATTCATCACACCATTAGCATAAATACACTCAACCAATGAGACAGTGGTGCCCCGCGTGATGACAACAATTCGTTCCAGGAAAATCGCTGTTAAGCGAAATCGTTGTCAAGCAAAAAAATAAATAAATGGAATGCATTGAAAACTGGTCAACACAGGAACCACTTTCATTTGAGGAAGGGATGAACACAGATTGATAGCAACTGCAGTGCCCAACCTACAGAAAGCAATGTCTTGCCCATATTTTGTGTGTGTTAATGGAGAGAGAGAGAGAGAGAGACCTTGTGAAGGTGGCTCTCTCTCATCAGCCACCTTGTGAAGATTGTAGTTGACCATTTCAGACTAATAAAAATAAAACAGTAAACTTTCATTTGAGGAAGGGATGAACACAGATTGATAGCAACTGCAGTGCCCAACCTACAGAAAGCAATGTCTTGCCCATATTTTGTGTGTGTTAATGGAGAGAGAGAGAGAGAGAGACCTTGTGAAGGTGGCTCTCTCTCATCAGCCACCTTGTGAAGATTGTAGTTGACCATTTCAGACTAATAAAAATAAAACAGTAAAACACATAAACCACACATTGAAAACTGGTCAACGCATCCCAATGGGGAAATACCTCATCGTCCAGCGAAGATTGCTCATAGAGAACTGCCAATCAGCTGTTTAAAAACGCTGTCTTCCGAAGCAGGGGTCCAGAAAGCAGGCATTTTGAAAAGGGAGGGAAGCCATTTTAGGAAGGGAAGCCATTTTGCGGAGCCGGAAAAATCGTTTAGCGAACAAATGGTTCGTGAAGCAGGCTTCTAATCGATATCAAGTGAAAAAACCCCACTGGAACCATCGTTTTGCAATCGCAATCGCAAACACAAAAAACTCATCGTAAAGCGATTTCGACATCATGCAGGGTAAGCGTCAAGCGGGGCACCACTGTATTCACCCAGAAGATTCTGCTGATGGAAAATGGCAACTAAAGGCAGAATGCATCTGTCTCAAACATTTCTTGTATAGAAGCCATACTGGGAAGGGTGGCTATCATCAGCCACCTTGTGAAGACTGCAGTTGACCATTTCAGACTAAGAAAAATAAAACAGAAAAACACATAAACCACATCACTTACTCAGAAGAATCATGAGCCCATGAAAACTCCTGAGCAGAACCAAAACTCTTGTTCCTCAGTGCCATGGCTGTGTAAATGATGTATTCTCCATCCCCACACACTACTACAAATCTGAAAAGGAATAAAAACACAAACAACAATAAATCAGGGAGGCATGAGAAGTCTGTGTACCTGATATGAGAAAACATACATAACCATTCATTCAGATATTTATCTTCTGAGAAAGAAACCTCTTACCGGCCATTAGGATTGTGTTGAATAGTCTGAGGATATATTTCACAGCTGCCCATATCTTTCACAGCAAGAGGCAGCCTCTCTCCATCTTTGATTTCAGCATCTCCCATTGCTTTCAGGTTAGCCTGTTGAATTTCTGAATGCTTTGCCCAAATGATCTTTCCATTAGCATCCATTGACATGGCGGGCTCCTCACGGCCAAGCTAGTTCAGGAGAGAATAATGATTTGTGCATGTTGAATACACCGATATGTTTCCATTTTTCACATTCAGAACAAATAGCCTTAGGGAATAAATGACAACTGCATCTAAACAAAAATTGTTTATTTTGTTAAACTAACAGAATTAAATATAGACACCAATAAAACTCAATTCTTTCATATAAATATTAGTCAAATTATCAAGAAAACAATTGCATCAAATCATTGAAATACTGTACACAGTTCAGACATATTAATATCAGAGGATGAATTTATAGAAAATTGAATGGCATCTTACCGGTAGGTTGTAACCATTCAAAATCATTTTATAAAAAGATCAAACTCAATGCCCCCAAATGGAATTAATTAAATCTGTCTTTTCTGGGTCACATACAACTGACTAACACCTTTCTACTACTGACATTATTTATACTTGTGTCAGGTAACACTGTTGTCTACTGGTTTCGTCTAATTTATATTCACTTTGTTTTACCCTGATGTAAACCACCCAGAGTCATTGCACTAACAGGGCAGTATTAAAAAAAATCTAAGAAATGATTGAATTGAAATAAATAAATAACACCAATACTTCCAGGGACCAGAATATGATGTTGAATCTGTATTAGTCAAGATGTGATCTAGGTTACAAATGAATGCCACGTAGATTAAGCTGCAACAATGTAGGTTACACTGTTTCTAATTTACAGGTCTAGTTTTCAAGGAAACATTGTTTTGGCATAATCTCAAGAATTATCTAGACTGCATAATATCATTTTCAGTTAGAAAATAAACAATACAAAGGACTTGAAATGAGGAAATCATATCTACCAGAACCTCCCTCAGTTGAGAAATGGCCCAAAATTTTGTCCAACCTTTTTGATCTATCTCAGTTCAGTTTTTGGAAATTAATTAAAATTACTATATCATGCCACTGGACTCCAGAGATTTTTAGAATTAAGGGTTCAGGATCAGGTTTATGCTGGAGGTATTGTGGATTTGAGTTCATCCATTGAAATATGTGGTGAAACATTCACGCTTTTGTTCCTTTGGGGAATTAGTTATGCAAGAGTTCCTTTCTAGTTTGAAAAGACCAGAGGTAAAAGATCTTAAATCATGTTTACTAAGCTTTTTCAAAAGAGATATCAACCCTTTTTTAATATAAAGACCTAATTAGATTTGGTACTATTTCAGCTCATCTTGTAAAAAGATGATGGTTTGGAAAAAGTCATTATTACTCTGTAGTTAAAAAAAGGATTTGGTGTACAACCATTATAGAAAAACTGCCTTATAATACCTTAAAGGAAAAGCTAACATTCAAGCCAGATACACTTAATTTAGCCTACTTCACTCCTAGTTGTATTGCTAGCTGTGTTGAGATGACAGGGATTAGAAAGGAAGAATTTATTTGTTATGCAGAACAATGTTTAAAAACTCAAGAACATTCTTTTCAAAAAGAACCAGCAGAAAGAGTTCCAATACATATGCCAGATTCAACATATGGATGGACATTATGCACCACTACATATATTCTAAGACAAATACCTTAACAATGATGCTGCCTTCATCATATCCCAGAGACACATTATTTGATCCTCTCAGGCTTGCTACACACCACACTCTCTCCAAGCCATAGTTCAGAGTACTTTCCAGACGGTAAGTACTGGAATGCCAGATCCGAACGGTTCCTATGGAAATGGACAGCAATGACTTGATTTGAATGTGTTCTTGACTGACTTATTCTACACAACATTATTCAGATACTTTATGTGTGGGGAAGGGGATTTGGGGCCCTCCAGATATTTTGGACAATCTCTTCCTGCCACAGTCCTTTATCACTGTTTGCTAGCTGGAGCTATTTAGAATTATCCAAAATATTCAGATGGCCACTTATGACATCCACTCTGTTTTAAAGGGAAGTTACTATTAAATGTCAAAATAAAATAGATGCAATAATATACATACAACAGCGGCAGCATAGAAATAAAACAGAAGAGAAGCATCAGTGACTAAAAACTTGGTTTGTGGTCCATGCTTATACCACCTACAGGAAAGCAAGTAGTGACTGGCTTCCCCTGGGTATTGTGAAAAGGCCCCAGGTGAAATCTAGTGCTAATTCCAACTACAACTGGAGAGGGAAGGTAACATTAATTTCACTGATCTCCATAGGTCTATCTAACTGGTACTTATCTCTCTGTGTCTTTTCCATCTAAAAGGAGATGACTACAACAGAGCAGACATACATAGATGAATAGTACATGCTCCTGAAATTGGGGTCGAGGGATTTGAAAGCAAATGTGAACGATGTCACTATCCTGCTCTATAATTCCACCTGCTCAACAGGAAAGACATTATTGTCAGCAACAGATGACCACCATTTCAAGAGCAACTTGAAATGGTGCGTGTGATTCACAAAGTAAAACAACTCCCTCCTGAAATTCCAAAAGAAACTCTAATAATCAGCGGCAATCTGTTGCTGAAGATGACATCATTCCCAGGCAGAGCTATGCAACAGGATACCAGTTAACAGAGCATCAGGTTCCTCCGCGTGCCTTTGAAATTCTTATTCAGGATGTATGATAGACAAGCTACTTCTTAATAATCTACCTATACTTTACAACCAATTTATGGAAGGAAAATAAAAACCATTGATTTCCACTGATAAGCATAGGAAAACTTGACACATCCTCACTCTTAGGCACACTCTACTTTTGTCCTCCTTAAAAGACCTTTAGCAGATTAAAAAAAACCCAACAATTATTAAGGCTACACTCTTGGGTCAAAATCTTCTCCTTTACACATGTCAGCGTAACTACCTCAGTGTAATTTTGAACAGTGAACTGCTACAAGCAGTTGTAGCCAATTCCAAGTGCATATCAGTCACATGACTTGATTTATGATAAGAAAATGCTTATGTTGACTTCTTTCCTTGTGGAAAGCGAACATCTGGAAAAAAAATGCTTAAAACAGTTTCTCAACAAATGTTTAATTCTTTCCGCTATAATAACCAGACTTCTTTCCTTGTGGAAAGCGAACATCTGAAAAGACAAAATGCTTAAAAAAAGTTTCTCAACAAACATTTAATTCTTTCCGCTATAATAACCACTAGCTTAAATCCAGTAATGAGTCCCAGCTAAAGATGGAGTATCCCAATCCAGTAATGAGTCCCAGCTAAAGATGGGGTATCCCATATGAATACAAATATCCCCACACAGCTGGAGTTAATGAGGTTCTACCCCCTGGGGCCGGCCTCGCTCATCTTTCCAATCACTCTTGGAGCCCCCCTCCCTTCCTGCTCAGTTAGCCACTCCAGGCAAGGGGAGGGTCTCCCTCCACGGGTCTCCCTGTATGGCTGCTGAGTCACTAGTCCAGCAGGAAGAAAGCAGGGCTCCACGAATAACTGGAAGAATGACTGAGGTCAGTAATGAGTCCCAACTAAAGATGGGGATATTCATATATGAAATTTGAATACGAAAAACCCCACCTCTAGGCCCACCTAGTGTAGGCCCACCGAATTCAGGGAGATGACTCACCATATCCCCACTAATTCAATGGGGCTAATATAGTTGCAATTTACTATTCAACTTTAGCAACAGACTAATCATCTGGTACTTGAAAAAATAGTTTGATGGTCTTATTGATCTATATTGGAAGAAAATTCAATTACCATCTTCAGAGCCAGTGATGATAATAGGCAGTTCAGGATGAAAACTAACACAGGACACATTTTGAGCATGTCCCTCTAGAGTCTGCACACAAGTTTTATTCTGAAAGAGAAACAACAATAAAAATATGTATTAAACTCAACAGCACTGTTAACATCTGACAAATTATAACAACATGGAATTATAATATATTTGCCTAGATACTTATTGCAGTAAAGGCAAGCATGTTTACCAGCTGGTCATCAATATGTTTGTCTCTATGAGATGTTTTACTGGATTGAGTTGATTTGAAATTGGATTTGGGAGGGGAGGTGTATTGGGATTAGTATATTATTATTAACCCTACAGAATAGTGCTTTGAACTATATCAGGCGGTATACAGATAAATGAAATTAAGTAAATCAATCACAATTTTCAAATTAATATGGTACAAAATATTCATATACTTGGTTTTCAATTAAATCCCTCAACACAATCATTCATCAACTTCAAGATGACTGAAGAATTGCAGGACAAAACATACCTGATAATCCCAGATTTTAACAAGGCGGTCATCAGCTCCCGAAATTAAATATGGCTTATCACCTCCACTGTAGTAATCAATACAGTTTACGCCTTTTTCATGACCTTCCAAAGTGAAGTTAGGTGAAGAAGAGCCAAGCTGCCACACCTTGAAAAAAACAGAGAACTGATCATACTCAATACTGGGTCTTTAGAAATTGCATCAAACAAAAAGCTTTGAAAACTTTCTAAAACTTTCAAAAAAGAGGGTACATCAAGCATACTGTCATCTGCTAACATACATTTAATAGATATAACAAAGCACTAGATTCCAAAGGCTTCAATTACATTAAATATACCAAAATTTAATCCCCCAAATCCTCACGTTATATAAGATGGCCAGAATACTACTGGGGATTCATGCCCACATAAGATACATTACATAAATAATGACAAGTGACTGTTAACTAGCAAGTTACCACCTGCATTCCTCAGTGCATGCCAAGTCACATGACTGACGCACAATAAGAAATATGAATGTTTGTTTTAGTGGCAATTCGCTATCATGATCCATACAGCTTACATTTTATGAGAATCCAAATCCCCAGTAAGATTCTGGCCACTGGGTACAAAATGTTGGCTAACGAACCTCATTTTAAAATTCACAGAAAACCAACTGTTTCTCAGCCTTCCAAATTGCTTAAGAACAAGATTGCCCTATTCCATGCTTCTTTCTACAGAAACACTGAATCTTCCACAGCACTTTCTCTCGTAGTCATTCAACACTTTCTTACTTACTATGCTGGTGCCATCAAAAACATCTACTAGCAAAAAAATAAAATAAAATAAAATAAATCTGTGTTTATCTCATTGTATGGTATTTGCACATTATCACTTAATGCTCCTGGACACCATCTCTAGGAATGCAGCCTTTCTACTATACTTTAAGTAAACATAACTGTTCTATAGGATCACACTTTTTTTGATAGAATCCATACTGAAAGATGTACAAAAACCACTACAAGTTTTCACTGCAAATTTTGCAGATACATTTTTTCCAGAGTCTTAGATCACACATACAGAAATCTGAATCAATTTCTTCCAAATCTAGGGCTGCCAGCTGAAATGCTGAGAAACTGACAGGTACCTATAGCATAAAAAAGAACAAACTGTATTTCACTTGAAACAAATATTTCAATTTTTCAAGTAACAGATCACTGTACCTTGATTGTCCTGTCCAAAGAGGCACTAGCAAACTGGTTATTGTCTTTTGGATTTATGACAATCTGCATTACATAATGAGTGTGCCCTTCAAACACTTGAGAACAGGACCATTTCTTTTCCCAGTCCCACAGCTTAATCAGCATGTCATCTAGAATGGGAAAAAGAACAGATCAGTGCAAGCTCTTGAATAACTTCTACCCACTTCATAAACACTGTACATCTTCTAATTGCAAAAGAAGAACAAAGTAAGCTTAGGAAAAAAGTTTTATCATTGCTTTCATTTTCTTGAACACACCTATGTTCAGGAAATATGGCGGACTCCAAAGATCAAAATAAAGACAAATAACCCATGCACCTCCAGGTATTGTCAGACTGCAATTCCTATTAATTCCAGCCAACATGGCCATTGGTTAATGATTTGAGATGTGAAGTTTTCTCACACTTGCCTTGCAGCATTCATTGGCTCTATCTGTACACCATAATAAACCAGCTTTCTATAATATCCCGGCTCAAGATAATCAAATTGGTTGCTGCTATACAAACCTTCCCCACTTTGTCTTCGATTCTCCCCACTAGTTTGAGCTACTGGCTGAAATCCTATTACATGGCTAACAACATACTCTCTAATATTTTACAGCTCCACTGGGTGGGGCTCAGCCTCTCTTGCATGCACAAATCTGTCCCCCACACATGAGATTCCATAGAGACCGGAACCAAAGGAGCTAAAAGCAATTGCTGCAGAGGAGGAAAGCTGTGCAGAGGGAGGTGGAGTCGTGCATGGGCCTCAGATGATGCACAAGCCATAGCAAAATTTGTGCCAAGACAGAAGTCATATTCAAGAAGCAGTTTCAACCAGATGCACTGTGAACTGCATAATCAGGCATGGGATTCATTATGTGTTGGTGCAATTCCCTGCAATATTTCACACATGCACCATTACACAATGCTAAATGCAACAGGATTTCAGCCATCTAACTGGCTAGGAATTCAAAACTTATTGTGTTGACCAAACTGGGACACTAAGCTTGTTATCTGAAAGCAAGCCAGGAACTGCTTTATGATCCTGGGTCATAAGAAGTAAGGAACCCAAGTTCAGATAATATGATAGGCTTCTTATTTCTAATTACTGGAAAGAGCTAAACAAACAAGATTTCTACACTACCATGCAGCTTGTTCATATATTATGATGGAAATCTGATTTCCAGGGACAGATAAATGCAGCCACTAGACCTTGTTTTTGAAGCAATCTTTAAAGTCCCAGTCAGCCATTCAACCTCCAAGTGGGTAGAGCTCAATGGGCAACTGGTGGGGATGTGGAACACAGGTAGGCCTTGCCCTCCATGTCTCCATCCTACCCAGTGTCCTACAGACTGTCATGTATTCAGTGTGAAATGCTGTACAGCATTTCTACAACATGCAGGCATAAGTAAAGGCTCCCCTGTCCTTTGAGTCCCACACACTGATGCCTGAATACAGCAGAAGAGACTACACATTCTAGTAAGAAAAAATTATTCTCCTAATCTGTTCAGCAGATCCACTCAATCCTTTAACAACAAGTACATGACCTGGACCTTACACCTAAGCACCTATGTTTGGATAATTCTTCTCAAAAATTGTGCTTAAACATAAATGCAAAGAGGCATATTTCTCCCTGTAGCTATTCCACTTTTGTAAATAGCTTAAAGGAAAGAGCAACCATTATCATCACCATGAATCTACTCTTACCACTGCTGGTTAGAATGAAAGGTTGTGTAGGATGCACAGCAATACAGCGGATATAATCTGAGTGTGCTTCAAACATGTGAACTCTTTCCAAAGTGTTGTAGTTGAAAACTCTAATTTGCAAGTCATCCTACAGAAGATAGAAAATCCAATAAAAATGTATTCCTCTGTAAAGTGGGGTTGAATTTTCAATGACAAATATTGACTTTTCAGAGACAACAATGTTGTACATATTTTGCTTTGTTTTTAACAGCTAACTTACAGCTCCAGTAACAACCCAGTTCTTCCTTGCCACAAATTTAGCTGCTCTTACTGGCAGGTCACATACTTCGAAGGTCTTCACTAGTGTCTGAAAATAATTGAGATTTTATATTAACATATATTTATGCAATATGTCTTTTTTAAAAAAAATCAGAAGTCTAAAATGGCTCTTGACAACGTGAACAATAATATTCTAGGAATACAAATAATTTCAACTAATCATTGTAACATAATTCTTAAACCTTGGTACTATTAGCAAGAACTAAATCATACAGTTTTAAATCCTGGAAGTTTACAATCAAGAAAGAACAATATTTAAGCAATATATTTATCTGTGAAGCAGTTGAGAGTATTGGGTGAAGGAAGGGATTTTGATTCAGAAGATGGCATGGGGGCGGGGGGAAATCCTAATTTAATTCAGAATTACAATCCCAATACAGTGCAGCCAGTCTTTACTAGTTGTTTTAAAATGTGAAATAAAACACAGAAAAGCTGACCACACACTTTCTGCATCATTAAATAATCTAATTACTAAATTTTCCAGCTTTACAGTCTTACCTGTGTTTCATGGTTCCAAACACAGACACTGCCATTGTAGAGACTAGCTAACATCCATGGCTCTGTGGGATGAAGGTCCACACTCTTGACTCGGTCAGATCGAGCTGTTAGCTTACGCTTTATGTCAAGTCGGAGAGGCTAAATAGATAAAATCACTGTTTCAGGTATTTGCAATTTAAGAGAGATGAAGACACATTTTGAACACTCAATCATATTTCTATATAAGAGGTGCTCAACCTAAATTTGTTTACTTTAACTCTCTGGAGTGGCTATGGATTAAGTCTACCCAAATTCATACTAAAAGCAGCAACACACCATCAACCATCTCTACTGAAATATCTTTTCTAGCTTGTTACTATATATCCATATTGATCAGGTGAGAACTCCCCTCCCCACACACAAAGAAACAAAATAAATAATAATTGTGTGCCATCAAGTCAATTCTGACTTATAGCATCCCTTTTCAGAACTTTTCATTTTTGGGGTAGAAAGTACAGTGGTGCCTCGTTTAACGATTACCTTGTTAAATGACAAAACTGCTTTACGCAGTGGTGCCTCGTTTAACGCAATCGCAAAACAATGTTCCTATGGGGGAAATTCACTTGACAATGATTGGTTCCCTGCTTCGGGAACCGATTTTTCACTAGACGACGATTCTAAAACAGCTGATCGGTGGCTCTAAAAATGGCCGCCTGCTGTGTAAAATGGCTCCCCGCTGTTTTAGCATGGGTTCCTCGCTTTACAGGCACAGGAAAATGGCCGCCCTATGGAGGATCTTCGCAAACCGAGCAGGTATTTTGCCCATTGGGATGCATTGAACGGTTTTCAATGCATTTCAATGGGTTTTTTTAATTCGCTTGACGACGATTTTGCTTAACAGCGATTTGAATGGAACAGATTATCGTTGTCAAGCGAGGCACCACTGTACTCAAAAGTGGTTTGCCAGTCCCTTCTTTTGGGGACATCCAGGGACTGTGCAGCTTGCCCAAGGCCATGCAGGAGGCACAGTGGGGAACTGAACTCTCAACTTCTAACTCCACAGCTAGATACCTAACTCACTGAGCTATCCAGCCAGCTGGTAGAGACAGGCACACAAGTTCACATCTTTTGCAAACTAAGTACAGTTATGACTGGGAGGCCAATGGTGGGTTGGAAAAGCTTCATTAGAACAGCTACAAGAGTTTTAATCACAGGATGCTCCATTAATATATCTGCAGTAAATGCTATTGATAAAACATACACTTTGCATAATTTAGGTTCCAGGCTGACTTTAAAGCATGAGGACTGCTTGTACTGGACAAGAAAAAATGGCAATACACCACCAATACACACCCTCTTTCCACAGAATCGTTTTCCCATTAAAGCACCATACAATCTCAGGCCTGCTGTTGTGCAAGGTGGGAGTGATTCTGCTGAACCAGTAGGGTTTATGTTTCTACAAGATAAGAAAGACAAGTGCGGGGGGGATCTTACTCCCCCTTCGTATTCGTGGCAGGCCTCTTCTCCCAGCAAAGCCCACCCGTCTCGGCTGTAACGAAAGATCCTCTCGCCATCCATGCAAGGCCGACCTTCCTACCCGCCTTTTGGCTGCCAGCCGCTTCGCTACCTACCATGCCTCCGGCTCTCGATCAGGGCTAACACAGCCACCGAGCTCAGCTACGATCGCACACAGCCCAGTCCACCGACGTGGAGCTTCCGGCTTCGGCCAGCCCCACGGGATCTTGAAGCTATCGCGAGAATATCGGGCGGCAATTCTTCCGCCCGGGCAGTTGCATATAGAGCGACAAGCAATATTCATAGAGATAGGAAACAGTAGAGTTGCCTTTAACGCTGTACACAAGGAGTTTCTTTAGATTTTTCCATTTGTCCATGTTCGGATGCGGCAAGCACAATATTTCTACCTTCGCCGGAGTATTGGCGGGGTGCACGGGGCAGTATAAACAAAACAAAAACCCAACGAGAAATCCAAACCAAGCTGGCTTCATCCATCGGAACAAGACAAAATCGGCAGACGTGAAATACTTTTATTAGCATCAGCATTATTTAATCAGACTAGATAGTTAAAAAAAAGTTGGGGAGGAAGAAAAGAGAGAAGGACATTGCAATCTTTGGCTAAGAGTTTCAAGCCATGAAGAAATGCGAAATCAGCTCTGTGTATTTCCTTTATTTAAAATACTTTACCCTGCCTCCTAACAGAAGAAAGAAACATACTATATATTACACCAAACTTGATTTAGTATTCTGACATTTCATGTTTTAACAATGTGAGCACCGTGATTTATTTCTCTAATTAGTCCCATTTTATTGTGCATATCCACTTGGGAAAATGCCAAAGGCATTAAAAAATCCCAACGAGTATACAAAGGTGACTTACATCATTAAAAGGCAATCTTTAAAAGGCAATATTTAAAGCTAAAAACAATAAATATTCAAATAATAAAAGATCAAATAAATACCACTCTGAGAAACTGTAAACACAAGCAATACTAAACACATATTCAAAGCAGTAGGACTGATCCATCGGAACAAGACAAAATCGGCAGACGTGAAATACCTTTATCAGCATCAGCATTATTTAATCAGACTGGATGGTTAAAAAAAAGTTGGGGAGGAAGAAAAGGACATCCCAATCTTTGGCTAAGAGTTTCAAGCCAGGAAGAAATGCAAAATCAGCTCTGTGTGCTTCCTTTATTTAAAATATTTTTACCTTGCCTTGCATCATTAAACAAGACAAAATCGGCAGACGTGAAATACCTTTATCAGCATCAGCATTATTTAATCAGACTGGATGGTTAAAAAAAAGTTGGGGAGGAAGAAAAGGACATCCCAATCTTTGGCTAAGAGTTTCAAGCCAGGAAGAAATGCAAAATCAGCTCTGTGTGCTTCCTTTATTTAAAATATTTTTACCTTGCCTTGCATCATTAAAAGACAACATTTAAGACTAAAACCAATGAGCATACGAAGGTGGTTTACATCATTCTAAAACAGTATTTAAGGTTTAAAAAATCCCAACGAGTATACAAAGGTGATTTACATCATTAAAAGGCAATCATTAAAAGGCAATATTTAAAGCTAAAAACAATAAACACAAGAAATAATAAACACATATTCAAAGCAGTAAGACTTAGCAATCCATTTAAAAATCCAACTCACACAGCCAGTCACTGAGGGAAAGCTTGATTTAAGAGAAATGTCTTTGCCTGCTTGCATAAGGACAATACAGCAAGGATGGGGCCAGCCTGGCCTCCTGTGGGAGGGAGTTCCAAAGACTGCAGCAACAGAGAAGGCTCTCTCCTGTGCCCCCATCAGACACACCTGTGAAGGTGGCAAGACAAGAGAAAGGCCCCTCCTGATGATCTCAACACCTGAGCGGCTCATAATAGAAGATACATTCTTAGAAAAAGAACCCCAAATATTTCAACTTCTGTTTCTTCTCTCCCCCACTATTTTGACTTATGTAGCCTCGTTAAAATGTTGAGGAATCAATCTCAAGAATATAAATAAATAAAGAAAGATAGAAGTTCCACAAAACAAACAAACAAACAAAACAAAACCATGAGAATTGCAGCCTCAGAATATGACGTTTTAAACCCTCAAACAAGCTAGTGAAGCCTGAGGCAGATCCAGAAGTCAAAGAAAATGATCCTTTAAATTCTCCACCCTACTTGATATGAATATTAGGAAGCGAAATCAAAATAATTGTAGTACACCAATATATGAGATAAGGGCAATGGACTACACTGCAGGGTTGTCATAACTGTTCTGACTCTTCTCTGTACCCTGCAAAATAAGAATAGCACAAGACATATGTTGCAGTGTTCTCATGAACCATGTTCTTTCTCCCATAGCCCTGCCAATCTGGCCATTCACTAATAATTATGGTGCCATGGCTGTTAGTTTAAAAGCAAAAAAAGAGGCCACCCAAAATTATCTATACAGTATATCTAGGGTATCTATAGGTATAGAGAAATGTACTCTTTTTATAAATCATAAGGAAAAGAATATTTTTAAAAAAGAATTACCTGCCAATATTGTGATCAATGACTCCCAGAATTGGTACTCTGAGGACATTTGAGCTACAGAAAGTTAGGGGGCAGGAGAAGAGGGGGAAAAGGAGGAGGAATATATTGGTCAGTCAATGGAGTGTCAATATTAAGTGCAAGTGTAAATCAACTGATTGATTATAGCCACTATTTACGATCAGTGTTATTCATGTATGATTCAATGAGGTCCTTTCACAATATGCTGATATTTAAAAACACAAAACAGATAATTAAATTTGCCCAGCATGTAAGTATGTAAATACCTAGGTAAACATAACATAAAGGTAGCTTAAAACATCCAGGCATGTTGATCTAAGATTTGACAGATTTTGAGCTAGCCCATATTGGAAGCTTTGAACTGGCTTGTGGCAAATTGGTATTCTGGTCCTTAGAATAATACCTAGGATGAATATCATATAAGCCATTCCCCTTTTTTTAATCCTGGCTGCAGCTGGCACAGGGATAAATCATTTTCAGCAACAGCAGACATATTTGCTGTGCCAACTTCATTTGCACAAATTGTAACTGTCAGAACTGAATGCTCTTCTCACTGCACAGAAAGAACTATTTGATTATTGTTCTCTGTGCCGTGATTTTCAGCTAGCCAGCCTGTGGGGATGGTGAGGTCAGCGGCATGTGTTCTTCAAGTACCTGTGCTGAATGGATATTAATCCACTTCATTAATTTGTATTGAACAGATAACTGCTTTCAGATCACAAAGAGCTAGGTTGAAATTAGCTTGTGATCTAGATCTGACAGGTTCTGTTGCCCATTTTTCATCTGCTCACTATCTTGTTGCCAGGCTGCTGAACCTTTGAACCAAGCAGTCAGGAAACAGTGAAGTCGGGGAACTTGACGGATTGTTGCATAATTGGGATGCAGTGCAGAAGCCCTCCTTGAGGTCCTATGTAAATATGCTCAGAATTATATTGTATGTTGCTGTCATGGATGTACTACTAATATGATGCAGTTTTAACTATATGTTATCAATGATAACTGACAATCGGACTTTATACTGTACATGGGAGGTGATGGAATATAGCATGGATAATGTACAGTATTACATTAACGCAGACTTCATAATGTGCCAAAGAGCACTATGGCAGACAGTGAAACAGCAGGGAATTACAAAAAGCTAAAAGTACTGTAGAGCAACCATGTTCCTAATACTTTGATATGTATCTAGAAACAGCAGGGAATTACAAAAAGCTAAAAATACTGTAGAGCAACCACTTTTATATGTATCTGTTTGAACATTTCATTCTATTCTTGGAAAACTCAGAGACATTGGAAACTTCTCTATGATGACTGAAGTTGTTTTTTTCTACAAGGAGGGACTTCAGAGTGATGCAGCATTCTTAAGTTATCCCAAGAAGCGTGGCTGACAGCTGGTCACATTCCAGGCACACTTCCTGGAGTGGCTTCAGGATATCATGGCACACTGAAGTGTGGGTGGATTTTTAGGTAGCAGATAAAATCCTACACTGCTGTGCTTGACAAGGATCCCTTCTTTTACAATAAAATATTTAATACCCACTGAGAGTAGCTTAGCAGCCTCTGGCCAGAGCCCAAGGAAGATGGTCGAACAGCCCCAATCCAAGTCTCGGGGAAAGGAGTCCTAAATACTGTCTTTTAAAGGTGGAAGCTGCCTTGAGTGCTTTTTAAGGAGAAAGGTGGGGTAAAAATTTTTAAAATAAATAGTGCCATTGGGGCTGAACCCAGAAAGGAAGAACCCTGCAGCTGACAGAGTGAAACCCGTGGAGGCAGTAACAGAAACCCCAGGGGGAAAGGAGCAACCGCTAGAGAAAGAGGAGGGAAGGCCTTATGGGGGATATAAAGAAGGTTATTGAGGCAGCCAGAAGAGAAGAGTTAAGAGATAGGGAAGAAGCCAGAGATCTGGAGATCCAGAAAGAGTCAGAGACCTGGGACCATCATCCTCAGCAAAGGAAGAAGTGGGCAAGGCTGGTTAGAGAAATGCCCCAGGGGAACTAGGGTATGCCTACCAAGCAGAGAACGACCAGGAACAGGACCTCAAACCCCCAAGTGAGTGGGATTATGTCTTGAAAAAGAACTCCTGGACAGGGTTCCTAGTGCAGATGAGGGTCTCAAAAGGGGAGGAAGAAAAGCATCAACCCCCTCCCCCTTATTATTGGGGTGAGACAGCCCCCAGGCAAGGACAACGCCATCTGAAGGAGACCAGACACAGAGAGTCAATGCCAACCAAGCTCCAACACTAGAGAAAATGCCATCTTGAAGAGGAACAGGACGAGGTGCTGATCTGAACAAGAGCATGAGCCAGGAATGGGTGGCAGTTCAAGACCTGTCCTCGCTCATCAATTTGCCAGGGATCAATTCAGACACAGATACAATCATCAATCTGGACTGTGAGACTTGGGGACTTCGAATCTTGGCTTAAGCGCTTGGGTAGCTGGAACTGAATGGCACAACAAGCACAATTTTGGGATGAAACAAAATTTACCTTTCTAACAATACAATAGTGAGCTCCCATTACCAAGAGACAAAATTATTCAATCAACATTTGAAGAACTATAGTCAACAAGCAACAGGGAACAACGACGGAGGAAATGAGAGTGTGCCGGATGATGTATGCCAATCAAAAGAGGAACTAGAGGAAATTAATGGGGAAAACCTAACAGAAACAACGTCAATCTTGGATCTGAAGAGAGTATTAAGGGAAGACAAGGGGAGAAAATCAGCAAAACAAAACAAAAAAGCCTGGAAGATCTATTGAAGATAGACCAAGTGCATAAAGAGCTAGTGGACATAAATCAGATGCACAAAATGGTTTCAGAGGGCATGAAAGATGGCAGAATGCTTAGAGACACAGAAACACAAAGTGAAAAAAGAGAAATTAGAAAGATGAAAAAGGGGAAAACAAGAAGGGGCCTCTTAATGCTGCAAAACATGTATATAACATCGGAAATTGTAAATGGGTATATCCTTTATATTAAAAAGGAGAATTAAATTGAAATAAGGGAGCCCTAATCAGGGTAAAGATGTAATATGGT